GAATGAACCCTTCGGTGGTTTGTTGTGCTGCAGCAGAAAATCGCGAACCGTCTGCGCCAGCTCGTAAATCATGACCTCGCCCAGCAGCTCCTGAGATTGCGCCTGCAGCTGGGCGAGCAGTTCCTCCAACAGCTGATCCGATATGCCTTTGGACTCCTCCAGCACTATTTTGGGCGCGCTATACAACAATCCAAAGATTAGTTAATTTAAAATAACCCGGTGATAAAACCCAACTTACACCTTTGGATATTTGGATGGGCATGTCACGTGGAGCTTAGTGCAGACATAGGCCTGTGGCAAGCCATTAGAAGAGTCTCGCAATGGAGTTAGGAGTATGCGTATGTCTGTAGGCTTCCACTGCGACGCATTGCTCTGAGGTCTTAGGTCTTCCACATCGCCGCCGAATATGGACTGGAAATGGCCGGCGTTTATTTCATCATATTTCAGTAGGGTTTGTATCAATGAAACTTACTTTTATAACCTCCAGTTCCTGTGTTTGTCGTTCGCGAAATGATTCCTTCGCTGCCATTTAACTGTAAACTTGTTCATCAAATCTCAATAAAAAAAAGTTCACGTCTTCGCGGTTGCAGTGTGAATTAAAAAAAATACTGGAGTCTCGCCGTCTGTGTTGGTGTATTTACATGTGCATGTGTGCGTCTGTTTTTTGTTATGAATGTTGCAGCCGGTGTATTTTTTCTGCGATAGCAGCTGTTTCATTGTTGGCAAGTTTCTGCATGGCTTATAAGCTTGCCTTTACATCCAAAGTGTGTCGAGTTAATGTTGATTATTGGTAAACGTGGTTTAGTTGCGTAAAAATGGCAACTTGTTGCTCTTTTCATTAAAAGTTTTCACTCGCGTGTTGTGTGTGCGTAGTTAACCAGCTGTATAACACTTAACATTACTTGTTTGCCAGATAACATAGACTTTCCAGCAACATCGATACTTTGTGCATAACATTTTTGAGTATTTAAAAAAAATTAAAATACGGTCACTCTGGTATCATGACAATGTAACGGTGTTTTGTCTGCGACAAATTATATTTCGCAATATTTTGTGTTAATTTATTTTATTTTGTTTTTAACCAATTTATTTATGTAAAAATGGTACAAACACGAGTTGTAGTGTACCTCAACCAAACACCAAATAAAAAACAATCAAATGGTACAGGGAAAACAGAATTCTTCCAATATGGCGGCGAAGTCAGCGTCTTGAATGATAAAACTTTGCGACTTTTGTGCAGTCAAAATTCGGGCAAACCTCAGGTGTTTGTGGCGCAGAAACTGCACTTTGATGCGCTCTCTTCTCAGAAAAATGATGAACACAGAGAGCGTGAGATAAGTACACTACTTCACACCCTATTCATGGATCGTAAGGATTGCCTGCTTATGCATCTGTCTGCTGAGCGTGGCTATCACTTGATGTTTCTCGTCGACACGCTCATCATTCAAGTCAATGTGAAGCTTCAGCAGGAATCCTTGCAACTGGAAAGTTGCGCTATTCGCTACAAGCAGCTAGTTGAAGGCGCCAGTCCCAATGGCTTGGACACACAATGCAATTTCTGTGACATCAAACATTTGATGGGTTGGCTGCTAAATGAGTATCGGATGCGCACTGCCGTCGCCATGGGTCATGAGGCACTGGAAGTCCAATATATGGTTGCCAGTAAGAGCCACGGAGCTCGGTTTACAGTCAAGTTCCACATTCTGCTCGTAGCCATAGAGGAGATGTGCATTGGCACTCTGTGCGGTCTGCGCTGCTATTTAAGCCATGACCCTCTCACGGCCGCCCTTTCAGTCACGGAGTTGACAACGTACATACGTCAAGCGGCTGAGGAGAACAGCAATAAGCCTTTGTATATGCTCTTGGTGTGCCATGTGCTGGTCACTGGCTGTCAGGTGAATTGCAAAAATGTGCAGCTGCTTGGCTTGGCGCACTTAGCCTATAGAAAACAAGACTCTTCTCAGGACCGTATAGAAGCTGTGAGTAAATCGAATATATTACAAATCATAATCGGCACTAAATGCTCTCCCATTGCCCATTACCAGCTCAACATTACTCCGGCAGCTAACTTGCCCAAAACCGATGCTATGATACTACTAAAAGAGTTGAAGGTTTGCCACCAGGAAATTAACGATCGTTTCCAATCATTACATGATCAATTATTGACGTATATACAGCAGGAGCAGCAACTAAGTTATACTCAATGCCAGATTTTAAAAGACCGCAACGAATTGTACGCCACCCTGTGTGCATCCGAGTCGAAACTTAGTCACTTAAGGAACCTAGTAGGGAACCTTGCCCGCAATTAATATGTTTGCTTTGCCAATTTTGTATACGGCTATTGTCAACCTTTATTATCAAATTTTAAATTATTATAAACACTCAGATGCAAATTGCAATAAAAAAAAACTTAGTTTATAATTTATTTCAAACTTCCATGTCAACTTTGTTGTAGTTCTCCAAATCGAAGCGTTTTTCACATCAATTTACGAACATTAATCAAAATTTTCTCCGTAAGCAATACATACTCTAAAAAAAAAAAAAAAAATTGTAAAAATAATTACAGGAACGTTTCATATCGAAATGGGTGACAAGGTCCATCGCGTTATCGTGTCTCTAACAGACACAATGCACAAGTTATCTAGCAGTAACAAGAATACGCCGATCGATAGCGATGTCAAGCTGATGGACAAGACCACATTGCTGCTGCGCACGCGGAACGGTACGGAAACGAGCAAGTCGGCACGTTACTATCATCAGCTTCAATTCGACGCTGTGGGCTATGAGGACGATCGGCATATGCGGCTAGAGCTGAGCGATATGCTGGAGCAAATGATTCGACAGCAGCGTCCCGGTTGTATGCTAAGGCTGACTCCTCGTCGCTCGCACAACATTAAGCTGTTGACGCATCTGCTGGTCTCCGACTTGGACAAGATACTGGCCAAGCTGCCTTACCAGCTGCTTGGCATCAATGTGGAATACTATGATGTACGCAAATTCGATATGGTCAACATGCTGTTAAACTCACACCGAAGCAGGGCACAGAGCAGCAAACGAACGATGCAGACAACGCGTGAGATGTTCCAATGGCTGCATAACGAGTATGCTGTGCTGCGTTCGCGCGCCACTGGCGACGATCACATCAATGTGGAGTTTGTTCTCGCCGATGGCGTCAACAAGTCACACCAGCTATTCCTGTCGATCTATAATATCTTTGACTGCACCGATCGCACGGACATAAACGATTTCTTCAAGGCACTTTCGGAAGGCAGGCGCAGTAAGAGCACGCTGCTTACCGATTGCATCAAGGAGTCGTTTGATCCAAAGCGACCCACGCGCACCTTAATTACGTGTGAGATGCCTTTGGACAAGGAGTCCACATGCGAGATACACAAGTTCCTACACCTGGCGAACTTGGTTTACTCGAGCATTGGTGCCAGCCACGAGAATACCGATACGCCCAAGGCCGTTGATTCCAAGATAATAACAAAGGTGAGCAGCACCAGCAGCAGCAGTCACTCAATGGAATCGTGCAAGCAACCCTCTCAACTTGGCTTGATCAACATACCGTTCCGTGCGCGTCCGTTGAACCTCTCCCATGAGGACTATAGCAAATTGGCCTCTTGGTACCATCGCATCGACACGAAGTTTTCGGAGGTGAAGCTCAGCATGGAACGCCATTACAATGTGCAGTATCGCCAGAAGTTTTTGAAAATGTGTAAACAGCTAAACTCCTACCGGATCCTCAACGACAAGAGCGGAGGAGATGCCCACGGTGTGCTGATGAAGAACAGCAGCAGGGATCTGGTGGCGGCTGCCAACTATGCAGAGGCACTCAAGCAATTTCGGCAGCTCGAACGAGAGGTGAAAAGATGCCAGTTCTCGCCCACCTTGACAACATATATGAGCACTAAGAACTACGAGCTTCTCAATGCTGAGGAGGCTTTACAGCAACAGGAGATAACAAATTTAAGAGAGCACAGAAGTCGAATATAAAATGATCAGAAATCTGGGCCTTTCCTCTTGTAGATCACTGTTATCTGTTCACTGGCCAAGCAGATATATTCGCAATAATGGACCAATGGATTTATGGATTCAAACAGCAATCAGTCAAAAGTGTCGCAAACCTAACTAAATACACCAAATTTGTAAAACTTTGGAAATCGATTTTTCAATTCGTAACTTCTTTTTGAGCTTGAAGTAAAATATATAAATATGGTTTTGTTATTGATAAGACACAAGAGCATAGTTTGATTTCAACGGGTATACGTATAATATATAATATACATAAAATACAATTTATATATTATTCATATATGTATATATACATTTATATAAATTGAAATATTATTGTCAACAATATGTTCCATAATCGTAGTTTTAGTTGAGCAGCGTCTGGAGCTGCGGCTTCTGGCTAACACAAATAGTTAGTTAAATATTCCAAATACAACGTGTAACAGTTACATAATTCGATATTAAATACACACATATATATATTAATATCTATATATATATATATATATATATATATATATATATATATATATGTTTTTATATGGGCTATACTCCGCTATTATTTCATTTAATGCTAAAAACATTTAAAGCAACATTCAAACAATTATTACATGCAGAATAGATGTCAATTAACAATTCAATTAAATATTTCGTTAAATATGTCGTGTCTTGGCAATGTTTTGAACAATTTGTTAGTATAGGATATGTGCGACTTGCAATGCAACTCTATTGTAGTTGGGGTCAAAGGTCACTGGGTTTTGATAGGTTTTTATTTTTAACAACACACATATGTATAGTTGGCAGTCGGCAGATCGAATGAAAACACAGTGAACTTAAAGAATACTTAAACTTAAACTTAATATGCGAAAAATGTTTCTGAGTATGTGAAGCATGTCGAACTAATTTCTAAACTATTTTAATCAACGATCCTAAAAGCGCTGCCGAAATACAATCACAAATTAAATGCGAGTTAAATAATTTCTCTAGTAAAATTATTGATGCAAATGAATGAATTGAATTATATGTAGATTCATATTAATATATATGTATTATATTTTGCGTATTTGATAGATCTTCCTATGCCCGAAAACCAACTGAGAATATATAATTGTACTTCAAGCAACATAAAGCCTTGGACAATTTGAAATTTAGAGTTTCCCTTGTATTTTCCATTTGTTCCTCTTCAATTTTACAGTCTTCTCCAATTGGAGCCAAAGCTTTATGTTAGCTGAAATCTGTGTATGCTGAAACAATGATACGCGCTGCATGGGCTTAAGTGTGTAAGCTTAAAACATATATAAAAATATATCTATTCGTAGTTCTGTTGCTGGAGGTGGGCACGCTTTCAGGTTGAGATTTGTGTATCGAAGCGCGTCGAGCCTTGGAATCTGATGTACTTATACTCGTTATTGCCTTGCTGCACAGAAGCTATATTACTGTTATTATTATTATTATTATATATTTGTTTTTAATTTTTTTCAATTTTCTTGTTATAGATTTGTGATTTTTTATACTTTTTTCATTATATATTAAATGCTATCATTTGCTGTTGATGTCTCCTCCATCTGGTTAGAATAATTTCAGCGTGGTCTCTGGCAATAATGGCCCCACCATCCACCCACCATCATTCCAACCATCCATCCACTCGCTAATCTCTACACCTGAGCTGGTTTCGTCTGCTTGCCGAGTACCATGAGCAGCTTTTGCAGGAAGTGTGTGAGGCTTACTGTAAATTAGAAGAACGTTGCTTGCATTAGTTGAGCACTTGAGAGCCACTAAGTTCTACTTGAGTGCGCTACAGTGAACAACCAAGTGGTTATCCACACACGTTAAAGAGTGCTAAGGAAACATGGAAGCGGGCCCAGGGCCCGATTGTTAGTAATTAGTGCATTAAATGCAGGCAGGCAGGATGAGTATTGGTTAGTCGTTAGTGTTGAAAAACAAACTTAGGAAAACTAGGATAAGGAGCAAACTTAAAAACCTTTGACGCCGCTTTGGGACGCACAACCATCATCAGTTTTTGCAGTACTTGTGTGATTCCGCCTAGAAGAATTGCAAGGTACGGGAGGAGCACAGCGTAAATCATATATGAAACAGAATTGCAAAATAGTTTCGTTTTATAGGTGAGCTCACGAAAAGGACAAGAAGCTGAACCAGGTACAGACAGGTGTGCCACAGGTTGACCCACTTCTCAACTTACCCATCGATTTCTGGAACCATATTGGCTTACTCTTCCAGGCAATGAAGACCAAGTAGACGGGTATGCTCGACAGTATCATGAGGATGCCGTAGCCAGTCTCCACGGGACTGGCATACATGGGCACGACTGTGACGAAGATGGTGGCAATTAGATATACAATGGGGAATACCAGGGGCACGCGTATGGGGCGTGGCAAATTGGGTTGAGCCCAGCGCAGCCAGGGCAGGCAGAGAACCGCAACGCCAATGCTCAGCTGTTGGGTAATAGAAAATTAACTGTCTGACGAATCAAATTAAATAGTCCAACGAAACTCACCCAAGTCGCAAAGCCCACGTAGTTGATGAGCGCGAAGATGTCGGAAACCGTCAGATATAACATGGATAGCAGAGCCATGGCCAGCACAGCGGGTGTGGGCGTGAAGCGTTGAATTTGAATCATGGTTAAAATCTCTGGCATCTGCCCCTCATTCGCACCCGCGTAGAACAGGCGCGAGGAGGTGAGCAAAATGCCGTTGACGGCACCGAATGTGGACAATGCCACAAAAACTGCGAAGGAAGTCGAAGAAAATATTTAACATACGCTGACTAACTGGCATTCTTTGGCTAAACCACACTCACCTGGTATGGTCCAGGCCAGCATGCCGAATGCGCGCTCCGCATAGGTAACAGCCACCGCAGAGGACCCCAGGACCTCTTCCGGCGACAGGATGGTGTAGAAGGACACATTGGCCATGACGTAGACGACGGTGACAAGCGTGCAGCTGATGGCAATGGCACGTGGGAGATTCTTGACGGGATCCTTCAGTTCCTCAATGATGAAGTTCAAGTAATTCCTGTCAGCAAGCAAGCACAAATCCAATTAGAGCAACCAGAACAAACCGGGCGACAGACAGAGCAAAGCCGCTTAACGCTTACCAGCCATTGTAGGCGAACAGACCCGAGTAGAAGGACAGCGCCAGGGATGTCACGCGCGTATCGCTGTTATCGAAAGTGAAGTACTTCACATTGCCCATAGAGAGCTGGTACATGCCAGTCGCAATGATGATAAATAAGGCCAGCAGCTGGAAATGCCAATGTCCCGGCTCTGTAGTAAGCCCCAACATAAAGTTGCAAATCTCATTTAACTTACTTTTGCATATGTGAAAATATCCTGCACAGCGGTGGCCCATTTAACGTCCCAACAATTGATCAATGTTAGCACCACTGTACAAATAAAATGAAAATAATAATGAAAACAAAGCTGCCAGAGACTGGACGAACGCATTCGGGGTGCCTCAACTATGCGGATGATGTAATAAACCTAGGATTTGCACAATGTAAAAGGCATTGACTTTATTTCTTCTTTTCTGCTATAGCTGGAGCGCGTAAAATTCCGCATTATTGAATCAATATTAAATAGGCATTAAAACAGACACAAAGTGACCAGCTAGCTAGTCACTCGCCGATTGACAGCGAGCTGAAAATGCCTGAGTTATGGCCTGACATTTGGGATAACTAACTGTGAGATGTCAGGGACTAACTAACATAAATCATCTGACTGAGTGAGAGTGTTTAACATAGCCTTGTAATGCAATTATAAATCACGTAAATCTGAATCGATATAAATCTGATATAATATAAGTTATTTCTATTTCAAAACTTCTGTAAACAAAAATTTTAAAACTGACTTCGTAGAAAAATAAGTTTACATCACTTCATCTCCTTTTAATAAGTTTTAAGATGAGCTTAGAAATAACTTATATACAAATATATAAACAATAGTTTTCAAATTATAATCGAAAATGTTCCTAGATTTTTCCAATCGAACTCTGTCTGCCTTCAAAACACAGGAAAAAAAATAGAGAATCATTTGCGTGATGTTTATTTAGCCTATTTACCCCCAACAACAATAGCAATAACAATAACAACAATATAACAATGAAACAAAAACAATGACAGTAAAACGGAAATCAAAGTGACTCCCGCTTTGATTATAGCTGCTGATAAGCCAATGGCAAACACTTTTCGCATACATGCGTGCATATTTACTCTGTTCTCGGGGGATCTGCTCGAATTGGGTCTAATCTATAGGTCAAGTACGAAACGCAGGCGAATGTACTGATGCTACGCGCCTCTACTATGTGGTTATAGTTATAGGAATTCATATACTCACATATGCAGCAGACGGCGAGCAGGCGGGCCGCATCCTCGGGTGGAGCGCACTCCGGAAAGAACGGCTTCAGTACGTAGGTGCTGAATGTTAGCGCCACGATGGCCTGTGAGCAGGGTCGCACAATCATACACTCGATCCACAGGCGAATGAATGCCATGAAGGGTCCGAATGTCTCCATGATGTACGCATAGTCAGCTCCAGATTTGGTTATCATGGTGCCCAGCTCGGCGTAGCAGTAGGCGCCCACCTAAAGGCGATATTGCAGAGAGATGGGTGAGTGCTGTGCGGCGAATGGTTTAAAGTATTCTTAAAGTAATTGGGTTCCTTCAACCCCAAAGTGGCTGTCATATCCTCAACTCAACTGTCAACGAGCACGCAGCGTATACTTAATTTCTATTGAATAGCAGCAGCAGCAATGCGTGCTCTTGACAAGGGCGTGTCAGTTCTGCGTGCTTGTCTGTGTGTGTGTGTGTGGGTGTCTGCCTGTGCTTGGGGTATGCGAGAATTTCAATAATTTCATTAAGAGACAAAATGCGGCCCGCATTCGTAATTGAGTATTGGTCCTGCTGACAGCTTTACGTTGGCATGCGCATTTCCATTAGTGATTACTTGGCTTTGCCTGTCCAACTGTTTACAAACAGCCAACAGGTGTTACCGGTTCTTGCATTTGCATATTGGTTTATCAATATTTATATGACACACGCGCCCTCTCATATTTTCCAAGTACTCACCATCGAGAAGAGTCCGGAAATGACCCACACAATCAATGCCAAATTAACGCTGCCCGTGTACATCAAGACGCCGGTGGGCGAGACGAAGATGCCGGAGCCAATGATCGAGCCCACAATGACGGTGCAGCCATTCAATAAACTCATTTTGGCTTTTAGTGTCACCTCCCCGCCGCCACCGCCATCGCCAGCTGCAGTCTCATCGCCGTTCGTCAGCTTGGTGGTGGCATCTCCATTGCCATTCACAATGGAGCTCTTGCGTGAGGAGTTCTTGCGGTTCAGCGACTCCGTTTCCATATTGCAGCTGAGATACTTGAAGAAGCTGCCTGAAAAATATTAATTTTTAAAAAATGAAATTAATGAACCAAAATTAAACTTAATATTGTTGATTAAAACAGAAATTAAATCTAAATATTTTAAATATTTATTAGGCGATTTGAATTATATGTTGAGTATATGCATAATGATTAGCTAAATTTATAAAATAACATTGATTACTACGAGCAAAATGTATTATAATCAAATTAGATTTGATTTAACAGTTTGCTGAACTTCAGTCAGGTTATCTTCTAATCAGATCAGAATAACTATATACATTTATGTTAATTTAATATATATTATAATCAATGTATATGTATGTTTATTTATAATAGCATTCTATAGCACAATGTTCTTAATATAGAAAGTATATGTTAGATTTTTAATGATATTTAGTTAATCCAGATATACATATACAATATATATTAATGTTGTTCTAGCTGTTGTTCCTGCTAAACATTTGTTGTTTATCAAGAAAAGGAAAATGATTTTCATTCAAGTTGGTTTGCTCAAAGTAGACTTCAAATTGGAGTTTCTGATTGGAATCAATACTCTGAAAAGAAGTTTGTTAGCCCTCTATTATATCTTGTTGATCTTAAGCATAATAGATAATTTTGAGATATTCTTAATTTATCTTTAAAATGATAGAAAATCTTTTGAAAATACGTTTTTTGATTCTCTATAGCATTTGAAATGGCTTGAATCTATTGATAGCTTTATCGTAATTAGCTATCATTATTTACATTTGGTTGCCTGTCGTATGGTTAATTGAAATACGATTGTTTTGATTCAAAGATATATTTAGCAACTGTTTAGATAGTTCCTCACGTTGATCTCAACTGGGCAGAAGAGTTTATCCAACTATTCATAGTCAGTTGTTTATGATTTCTACTATTCTGCTAATTGCTAATTGCACAATAAGAGATGAGATTTGCTTATTCTCCAATTGAGTAATCTGTGCATTTGTGTGTCTTATACAAGTCAATTAAATTTTTTTATTTATTTTTTTAATTTTTTTAAATTTTTATTTTTATTTCTCATGTGTCTAGCTCGGTCAAATAGTTTTTATTTCGACATAATCGTTTGCTTGAAATCTGAGTTCTAATGGCACGACTTTGCGCTCGTTATTATATTCTATTCCCTCTCTTTTATGTTACATTTTCTGCTCTTGCTCGGAGTGAAAGGCAATCAAAGTTCATTGTCCAGTAAGAGGCGGATTATTTTATTTGCACCACTATATTTTACATATCGCGCATGGGATTTCAGTTCTCAAATCTTAGAGTTGACAGCCGACGATTGTTAGCACAGTGCGTAACTTTTGTAACTTTTGATTGTGGTTGACCTCGTTATCAGTTGATTGGTCCAGCCACACGATGAGGAAAAACATGCCGTTCAGATTTCACCGGGTTCGTTAAACCATCGAAAATTTTCAGTAAATAAAGTGCTATGTATATACCGCAGATTGATTGTTGACAGTCGCTGCGCGTGTTGGCCCATAAAATATGCTTTCCAAACACATTTTCCTTGTGAATCAGTTCAAGGCTGTTGAAAGCAAACAAAAAACTAAACAAAAAACCGCCCACTCAATACTCTCTCTCACACTCTCGCATTTCAGCTTTGATTAGGTCACAATGTTTGTATTATACGTGTTTGGTATATGTATATAGTATATATGCGATACTTCCTTCAAAACAAGAACCAGCAGTGGGCGCATGCTTTGCATGAATTAGCATAACATTAGCGCGAGAATAACAACAGATGTGGTGCGACAGTTAATACAAACAGGTGAATAAACTAATGAGCTGCTAGTACAAAGCATTCAGATTGACTCTTTTTTTTTTTTTTTTTTTTTTTTTTAGCTATATCAAAGGTTATTGTGATAAAAACTGCTGTGTATGTACAGGGCTGTACAGGGTATATAAAGGTATATTGCTAATTAGCCATCTGAAGTTTCTTTTACGGCTTCACAGTTGGGCAGCCAAGCTAAACGAATTATTATACACCATCAGGAAAAGAGTCGAAAATCTAACTCCATTTGTGTGGAAATTAGTGTTGAGCAATTCGTGCAAATCGCCGATTGGAATTTCAGTTTTTAATTTGGGGTTGTCTCGTTACCGGATAAACTGAAACTTGCAAAGACTGTAATAAGAGGGAATTCCTCTGAAACTCACAACATTTCTTAGTCATATCTCTGTGTAATGTGAGCGTGTGAAAGGCAAGCATAATTGTTGGTATTTAACAAGCCATTAGACCCAACAATTGTCTATCATACTTGCATGTGCTGCTGGCCTTTCACTCTTCTATTCACAGTCATTAGCCCCATTTATTATTATAATTATTAATTTTTTTTTTTTGGCCAAAATAACAACAATAGTGAATTGATCCATGCAGGCTATGTATATTAGGGTACTGCCCGATTTGTATACATTAAATCCATTAATTTTGATAGCGTAAACATCATACCAAAATTAGTTTGTGTAGCTATCTATCGCCTCATGTGTGTGTGTGGTATATTCATGGCTTGGCTATCAATTTTTCTTTCACACAGGTGCCATAAGCATGCTGCTATTCTATATTATAGCTTTCGCATCATTCGACTGACTAATTAAGCTATTATCGCATTGCAAATTGTGAACTGGTTGGATTCCCGAGATCTTTAGCTTGTGCGCATCAATTTGGGCATTAAAATTGAATGATTTTGCTGTACTTCTTTTTTTTATGTTTCAAATAAGATATTAGTCTCCAAACACTTGTTGAAATTAGCTCTTTTTATGCCTTTTACGATTGGTGGGCTAACAAAAACAATGCAAACATATATATTTCAATTTTTCGTTTTCTCGCTTTGGTTTTCTCCCAAACCAAAGCACATAAAAACGCGCTGAGAACAAATAACATCTTCTTGGATTAAGCCAGGCCAAGAGTACACACAGTTGTTTAATTATTTTCTTTCTGATATTTGTGTTGGCTACCTTCTCAAGAGCAGATACTACACTGTTTCGCGCCACTAAAATACGTTTAGCGGTGGGCAAGTACGACGAGAGCTGGAACCGCACGCAATCAACGAGTAGAGCAGACTGAAAAGAGCGTTGGCTGCGACACGGCATCTTTCCGCCGCAATCTCAGCCAGAGCATGAGAGCCTCGGCCTGGCTGGCAGCGAGCATCACCTACACGGCGCTGATAAAGCTCTGCGCTGGGGCCGAGCTTTGGGCCGTGTTGGCAGAGCTTGACGCGACTGTTGTTCGGTTGGAGGGCTCGTTCGCATATAACCGGCAATTTTGAATTCTTATTTTTTAGAACCGAAAACGAGTTTTTGAAACGGCGATTGTGTATTTGGCTTTCATCGGAATTATTGTTGTTGTTGTTGTTGCCGTAACAAAAGCAGTGTGTGTGAGTGTTTGTTGTTTTTTGTTTCTATCTTTTACTGTATTCTCACAACGTGTTTGCCTTTAATTGCCAGCCAAGCGGAAAAGGTACGCGTCACTTTTATCTAACAGACATAAATATACGCAACTCTAGTTAATTAGCAGAATGCCGTACGCTTGCTCAGACGCTCTGCGCCAACACGTTTTTTATTTTGTTTGTCTTGGGGCACTCCAAAATTTAGTTAGATGGAGATGGTACACAATAGTCAGATAGTACATGTACTATCTCATATACATATGTTCCACTGTACCAGCTGTCAGCACTCAATAGTAGTGAAAGATACAAAAGTATCTATAGCATGGAGATGTGCATACAATACACATAATGAATTGTATCTTTCACACTTTGTCATCCGCTTAGTTATGCAAATTAGATGGCAGCATCAAAGATTTGAAATCCCACAGTTTGTCGTTTGTTAGCTACTCTATAATTGAATATATCCGCACTCAGGGCACCGTCTGTCCGATATCTTAATGCGAATTCTCTCTCTGCCTCGATTGTCACAATGGACTCAACTAAAGACGTTTGCAATTTCGCCATAAGGCACACAAATAACCCACGCAATTTAGCTTATATTTGATTAAAGTTGTATTCTTAGGCTGGAGCGAACATACTCAGAAATCTTTTCAGAGTCTGCAGAGCTTGCCTCACAGTGGCTCATGTGTTGTCTATTCTCTATTATGTTCTATTTTGAAGTGCTTTATGTAGTTGCATTGCTCAAGCTCATGCTCAGGTCCATTAGTCACTTAAGCAAACAAGTGTTGGGGCGCCAAAAACGTCATTGAGTGAAGGTATACATGCTTTAAGAGTCGTTAAAAGTAAATTTCATTTGAATCTCAAATTGTCGACGTCTGCTTGTTTAGCTGTGATTTACAATATGGTTTGCTTAGCTTTGATCCCGATGCTGTATGCAAATCGAATTCCATATGTCAGTTGCCAGATGCCAGATACCTCAGATGCTCTCGCGTGTGACGTGTGAGGTGTGACGTGGAGCTTTGTCCAAATGGCGTGACAGATATTGGCGATATAGCTTTCGATTAATTGAATTACCATAAGGATAACTGGTTTAATGCAATCTGAACACATTTATTGATTTCTGAGTGAGCTAGTGATTTAGTCGATTCTATGAGGTATTATGGAGGTAGAAAAGTGTTAATTATTAGCGCTATACCCACATACATATATTGAATATTATGTATTTGTATCAAGAGTGTATTCATTTGATTATTCATGAAATTAGTATATGCGCATTATATGGAAACAAGTATGGCAAGTAACTGTCCTTACCGTTTGATTAACTGGCTAATTCGCTTATAAAGTTTGCTTTAGCTAATTAAAAATACTTTTAGCTACATTCTGTTGTTCAGTTCATTATACAAATATTCGTAAATTGGTAAAATGTTATATATTTCACTTTATCTTTGGGCAGCTTTATTAAATTACAATTTTGTTGTGCGCTGCGATTGGCAATAAATTAGGCGCTTAGCCTTGACTGAAGATATATTGATTTCAGTACGCATAAATACATTAGCATTTTGTTTTGATTTTTTATTTTAATTTTTTTTTTTTTTTTTTATAATCTTCTTTTAGGGAGCAGCCCGAATTTGATACTCACACGCGTAAATCGCTCAATGGCAACACACCCTGCAGGACACTGGATAGGGTATTGAGCGTATATTAATTTAGCGATTAATGAAAAGCCCAGGGCTTTCCGAACAGCTCGTGCGGTTAGTGATTCAAGCTTACTAAGGTCTCATGTTTCGCTTGAAAGCTGACCACCTTGATTGAGCGCATTGCATCAGACTTTCAGTTAAGGCATAAACTAATAAAAATCAAATTGTATTAAAAAATGCAAATCTACGTGGCGCCAAAGCGTCTAACAATTACAGAACGGGGTGACGTTGAGCTGGGAATATTCCCATATATATGGTATATGTGTGGGCGTGGGTGTTTGGTCATGGATGTGTGGTTGGATGTATAGATGGGCGTGCTGTGACGTCACATGCGCGTACGCTGACATTGTTGGGGGACGCCTTTTTTTTTTTTTTTTTTTGTGTTTCGCGTCCATCTTTGCAGCCAGAAATAGCCTTGCGAACGTCAGAAGGGCAAAGTTCTTGTCCAGCTCAGTGGGCTAGGCAAATGAAGTTTTTTATTTGTGGGGTTTCCTTAATGAAAACTTACGTTAATTGTCTATTGCTAATCAAAAGCGCGTTTTCCTTGTTTTATTCTCACAGCACAATGTCAAGGTCTCCCCAGCATATTTATAGCACAAACGCTTTCATCTTTCAATTTCGCAATTTATTTGTGTTAAAAATAAAATATTTATCTAAAAGTTTGACTACACTTTTCACACTTGACTTTGTTTGTTTCAGTTTTGGTGTTATTAATATTTATTAGCAAAATGATGGAGCCTCACAGCTTTGTTCCCTGTCGTGGCCACAATTCTCAGTGTACTAAAAGTCAGCGTATGGCTACAGCCTCTGAGAACCGGACCACAACGAAAAACGTGTCGAAAAACAAGCTCTGATAAGAGGATGCTAAGAGCATGAAGCTTGCAGTTTGCAGACACGAAGTCGAAAGAAAAAACCAAACCGACAACAACAACAACAACAATAACAACTCAAAAAGGTCGCAGCTTGTGCTTTGGCCAGTCACGTTGTTGTTTCTCTTATTATATTAGGTTTGGCTCTGAAAATCGGTTGCGTACTTCAAATTATACGTTCGAGCATCACAGCGACGACAACCCTTGCGCTGCTCGTTAGCTACGCGAAGGCATTCATCAAATTCTGTCCGTCCAGTTATGCCATTTCTTCATCTCTTCCGTTGGGTTTTTCGGCTTTGGCTTCGCGCCTTTTGTTTTGCGCACCAAGCAATGGCCCAATGTGCTTTGGGTTGCTTTTGTTCGACATTTGCGGCTCTCCTCAGCAGTTTTTGCTGTTGTGGATAAGGTCAGCGAAGGTTGCTCTGCGCATGTCCTGAATTGAGCTTTGCACTGAAGTTCAAGAGCAACCCGATAAGAGTCTATCGATTTATATTAGAATTTTATTGTTCATTTTCCTAGGCATATATGCGGTGTAGCAGTCAGCTTGTGTACGTAAGCAATTGTTAAACTGCTTGTTGAGGTCGCTATTTTGAACAGCTTTGCAAGCAGTGCAGTATGCTGTGATAAGCAGTATTTCAATGGTGGGTACCCTAGTTAACCAACAGATGGCGGTAATAATAGTAAGACAAATTATTTACAGTAAGAGAAACGTGATTTTATGCTATAATTCTATTATCAAAAAGCTCTTGCATACTACCATTTAACAATTTTAGTTATTAAATTGTTTTATTAAAAAAAATAAATAGATTAAATCTATAGTTCTTAGATTATTTGCATTTATTCAATTACACATAAAATCTAAGAAAATAAAATGGATTTGTATAGCTATAAATACTTCTTAAAAATTAAAATTTTTGACCTTTAGTCAAACGAATGAATTTCGATTGGGATATTATATAATAAAAGCTGGCATAGGCCTAGTTTGGCTAAATTTATTGGTTAGTTTTAAATCAAGCGTTCATTGCATTGATGTTTTTATGTAAATACTTACCGTTTTGTATTTCATAGCAGTAAAAACGTGAGAACCGATGCACTCTGTGTGCAGCAGCCTGATCCTGTTTACGAACTGTTCATGTGTACAAGCAGCATTGTTGTGCGCTTAAGATCCGTGCACATGCCATCAAATACCCACATACCTGAGTGCGTATATGCGTGTGTGGGTGTGTGTGTTTCTGTGTGCGTGTGTGTGTTTGGCATGTGTGTATGCAGTTGCAAAAAACACCTACGCACTATTGCACAACAATAAAAGCGCTGTCACCTGTCCATCTGGCTGCCTCCGGACGGCCTGTGGTGCTTATTAGTTTGTTTTGCAAGGTGGGGCAAAATCAATCATCGGGCACAAGCATGCGAGCCTGGACCTGGATGTCCACCTGAATTTGCGCCTGCAGAGTTTCGTTTGGTGTGTCCGCGATTCACGCCGGATGCCACGCCACCAGGATATGAACGCATTTCCAATCAACTCCTCTGGCGAGCTGGCGAGCTGGCAGGCAGCACAGCCCGCCTATTGTCCAGCTCTCGTCCATATTTTGTTTTTCTTTGTTAGACTTTCCATGTCACGCTGATGTTATTTGCTGCTCTTTGATCCCAACGTGACTACAGTAATTGTTGCTGCCAACTGTTCGAATTGGAGCAGCTTCTGGATGTCGTGGCCCACGATTCGTGGGGCATGTTTTATTTTAGTTTTTTTCCATAAGTATTTTTTTCATTTTGGCAAAAAATTTTAATGCCTTCCCATGTGATTTGCATTTTTTAATGGACTGTAAATGTCAGACGTGGAAAAAGCTCACATGCATTCATATGCCACACCTTCCGCCCATTGCTATTTCTATTGCTATCGCCTTGCGCACGAACGAGCTTTGAATAATTCTACATGCAGTTCGCAACTTTTTTACAACATTTTTTGTTTCGGCGGTCCCGGCCAGTGGGAGCTGACGGTAAGCCGCTTACTTGGACAGTTGGAGACGTTCGTTGGGAGGCTGCTGCAGAATGCAGGCGCTTCCTGGCAGGAGGCACATGTGAGGAGGCATCCTGCTACCATCTCCAATGAGTTGCAAAGCTGCTTTCGATAGCCTCGACTCGAGCTGCAGGCCTACGGCTGGGCTCCGTGCTTATGCAAAGTGCAGCCATCTGCCATGAAATGGGTTTATGTTGATTTCCATGAAGGGGGAAATCAATTTGAGGCACATGGAGTGCGAGTGTGAGAAATATGAAAGAAATTCAGCACGAGGCACAATCAAAACTTTCCTAATTACAAACTTGCTGCTGCTGCTGTCGAAAAATCAGCTTAATACAATAACTGCGCAACTGGCTGGTAACTCAATGCGGCCACGCCCAGTGCCCATTGACGCCTACGGCTCAGCCCACTTATAATAAGTGCGAAATAAACTTGCGTTTTCAATTACCAGCACCAGGAGCTGAAGTCTTGAGCCTGCTGCCAGGCATCAAAGGATATAGAGGACGCCGTCTGCTGACAATGCCAAAATGCAAAGAGCAAAAGCACTTGAAAGAGCTGAAAATAAAGAGCAGAGGCGACCCGTGGGAAAGGGGACAGGGGACAGGGGACGGACGACAGTAGCTGAAATCGGTTTACTGCCAATTCATACTGTGTTATATACCCTATAAATAGAAAATCGTCGGGTGGTGTATGCTAGTTATAGAAGAATTATTGTTTAGAAAAGTTATATTTAAGTAAAATACAAATTATTCGATTTATATCTATTTTTACTTTTTGATAAATATTTGAATAGACTTTTGTCAAGCTATATTTATAAATATTAATATAGTGTTGCATTTTCAAATTCAAACTTGTTATGTATATTCTAAATTAAATATTGTTTTAGGAGCATTTCTTTATATATTGTTTTACCAATTTAAAATAGAAAGAATGGAAAGTAATAATAAGAAGTAAAAGAACAAATATCGTTTTTAACATTATCTCTCTTTCAACATTAACCAAAATCTTAACATTAACATTAGCAATACCATTAACATAAACAATAATATAAACATTAACATTTAACATAGCTTGAGTATGTTCAGCTTTACCTGCTTCTGCTCATCTTTTTCCATTCGTTCAGCTCATCTTAGAGCCGATTATATATTCGAGATTAGAGTTAGCTATGCGCAAACCCAGCCACCGGTTGGGCTATCTCGACTTGGCACAGTCTGTTGGCGTCTTAATTTATTTAGAGCCATGTGCAGTTAGTCATCTGACGACATCGGCGCATCAGAAAGCCAGCCATTTGAGGCTCTCCGGCTGTAAAGGATAAAGTTTATAATTTCATAGAGTTACCCGCTCCGCATTTCCGGCAAGACAACGTCTTGAATTTATGCACTGAATTAATTATGCACGTACGTCGCGGGCTTTTGGCTTTGACTTTGACTCCATTTGCCAGCTCCAGCTTCAGCTCCAGCTGCGTTTGCGTTTGCGTCCGAGCCGGGTCGCCTGCTATGCCCTTGTCCCAACCCATTTGCCAGTCTGGTTAGTTTGGGTTTGGTGGCATCGTGGCGTTGTCGCCGCATTTAAAATAATTGCACCGCCCTGTCTGCATGAAATGAAAAACTGAGAGCTCAGAACTGAGAACTGAGAACTGGGAACTGAAAAACTGAAACTGGCAATTCGTGTGAAAAGTTTACACAACGCTTTTGGCATAAGCTTATAATGGATTTGTTAGCGGGTTTGTTGCGCTTCACTCGCAATGCCTGTGGCCTGGTGTCTGTGCAGCCGCAACAACTGGAGCTAACCCACGGAGCTGCCTATTGGTGGCTTCTGCGTTCAGCTAATGTAAATTATGGATAGTGCTAAGTGCCTGAGAGGCCTTGAGCTGGCATAACGACTGCAACTTAAATGCTTGGCTTCATTTGCATAGAAGTGCGCAAAAAGTTTCATAAAGTACGAAAGTTAGTTGAAAGACTGGAGAAAGTAGTATTTATTCGGCGCTGATACAAAAAGTATTGCTGAGATGCAAAAAACTTTGGCAAATGTGCGATGCATGTGTGATGATGGATAATTTGCTAAAATGAAATGGAGAGTAGAACTAAATGAATATGAATAAGAAACTATGACCAGATTATAATGAGAGTATGGGTATACAGATGATAAGAAATATGAGAATATTTTACTTAATTTAGCGGCTATTCCTATTAAGTCACTTTCCACTTAGTGCTTAATGTCCTAAAAGTATGCAATATAACTTTATGATCCAAGAATGTCAAACCTTTTCATCTGCTGCTCATTTCTGTTTGTCTAGTTACTAGACTCTAGGACATTTGAACTGAAGAGAAATTAACTCGGTCATTTTATTGGACCATATAGATATATATATAGGTACAGATAAAGATAATATAAAGGTATTCGACATATATAGAGCAAGACCAGGTCATGTAGGTCTCATACTTTACTGATCTCTCTGCAGACCTCTGCAGGCATCTAGATGTCTATTTAGGCGTCTTGGGTGAGTGGGTAATCTCTTGCGGTAAGGGTTTGGTCAGTTCTCAGATTCTGTCTCTAATTTTTGTCATCTTGATGGTTCGCTGGAAGTCTTTGCAGGTCATGGGACCTCGTGGATTATTCGTAGCATTGAACAAATGTTCATAAATAATATCAATCAAAAAGCAATTCTAATTTGCTCACATTTCTTTTTATACTCATTCACGAAAGTGAATCAGTATATTGGTTTTGTGCAATGTCCGTCTTGCTGTCCGTCCGTCTGTCCGTCTGTCCGTCCGTCCGTCTGTCCGTCTGTCCGTCTGTCCGTATGAACGCAATCTATTTCGGCGCTATTGAAGTTAGAGACTTGAAATTTGGAACACATACTCGTGTATATCTCCGATTTATAAAGTGTTAAAATTTTCCCG